GCTAATGAGAACACTAATCTTACTCTTCACTGTCCACATCCACCATTTACACCAGCAGCTCTAGTGTCTAGTAAAGAGTTAAAGCAGCAGCTTGTTTTTGTTTCAGTTCCAGTCATACGCATAGCTTCCAGTCAGCACAGTCAGTCGGTGTCCTGCACTCAGCACAAGATGCCTTCACCCTCAGACTGACCTCTTTTCCCACATGCCCAGCATTCCTCCTTTGGCACTCACATCTACCAAACCACCTGCTCAGTTTTGAACTGAAAATAAACAAATGCAGAAGTCTGCAGTTGTATTTCAGTATAATTTCCTTGTACCATCACTGTAAAAGGTTGTCTTATACCTTTAAGCATGATAATGAGTGTAAGTATTCTAATAACTATTTTTTCTGAGATGTTCAGGGAGGTGTCCTTTATGTTATGTTTCTGAATGAAGTGACGGTATTCTTCTGGTGAAGGATCCGAGGATAGCGGCAGGATGAGGAGTGGTGTCTGCTCTCCTCTCTTGTTTTGTACCTATTGCGGCTCCCCTCTGCTGTAGATGGATGATTGTTTTATTATTAATCCAGTGAACTGAGCCTACAGAGCATCTCAGTCTTGTCTCATAGGGGGGAAGCATTGTCTGCTCATTGCTTTGTAGGGCCGGATGCGCTCATGGCAAGGAGAGAGAAAGACAGTGCAGAAGAGATGTGATAGGCAGGGGGTGATGAGTGCCAAAATGACAGCCTGTGCCTTGACACAGTGGGCACAGAACCTGCCCTTTGCTTTAATTTTTTCTTCTGTATGCTTATTTTGTGCTTGCCAGTGTCATATGCATCCGAGCAGTGTTTGGGGAAAACATTGAGAATCGCCCCAGGCATTTTAGGCAAACATTTATGTAAAATGCAGCATCAGCGGGCTGCATCAGAGAAATAATGAAAGAAAAGTGTTTTTGACAGCAAGACACTTGTTTTGGCCAATATACTCTGAGGCAGATCTGAGTGCCCCAAGTTAACAGTACTATAACATGTCTCATCAAGGGAACAGTGACATGCTGATCTTCTAAAACATTTTAGTTTAGTTTCCAGAGCTGTGAAAATCTGTGTTTGTAGTTGATGCATAAAATGACTGTTGTTTTAGAAACAATCCCATTGGCAGATGTTATAAATGAAGATGTAACTATGTTTCAGATTGTGCCCCAGAGTGTGTACCATAAAAACAAGAAATATGTAGGTATTATTTTTTAAAAAATAATCACTATTCCAGGCAGGAGCAGATATCTTCAGGTCTGCCTGCTGAAAATGTCTTTAGACTTTTAGGTTTGGGTAACAATTTGATTTCTGGTCAATGGTAAGCTCAGCTGCTACTACGAATTGGCTTATCTTAATTCCCAGACATGAATTCCTCCATAGTACAGATCTAGCACTTAATGGTAGGACCAGGGAAGGGCACTTAGTAATAGGTAAGACGAGCTCCAATCATTTTGCTGCCAGCATGCCTGGGATTCATCCAGTTCCACCGTCTTTTCATTTCATGAGTTCTGCTTGGAAAAGAAAAGGGAGGAACTAATAAATTTTGGTCTGTGTGGAGACATGCTTTTATAGTACATTTGATTTTAAAATGCCTTTGCCTAAGCTGTGTTTTATAGCGTAGCAGCTCTTTGTTAATGTAAACAAATAATTCAGAAAGGCCTCATCAATTCACCAACTGCTTCCCTGGGCTGCTTATTATATTACAAATCACGCCATAAACGAAGCTAGAAAACAAAACTAGGAAAACCAAAAATGGCACTTTTAGCTTTAAAACTAGACAAAGAAATAAACAATTGGTTAATTCAATATTCTGCATTAAGTCATCAAGATAAAATGAGAACACAGAAAGACTAATTTCTCTCCATGAGGATTGCCTGAAATTAAGTCTCTGCATTTACACCTTTGAGAATAAGTTGTGCTGTGTTAACAGTTCTGTATAAATGTCTCTTATTGCTCTTCTAAACAGCAGGCTGCCTGGCAGTATAAAGCAGAACAGGATCACAAAATAAGAGACATTTAAACAAAGGTACAAGCAGAGTTATCTTAATGTGCGATGTGTGTCCATCACTCCATCTACCTCTCTTCTAGAGTAATAGAAGACGTTTATTGAATTGGTTTTATGCAGTTATGACACTGAAAATGTTCCATATACATTTTCATTTGTTAATTCCATCTCATTAAACCGCATGTAGAAAACGTCCATCTAATTCTGCAAAGAAAGCAATGAATGTGCTTCAGTTTCAAGGGCTTGCAGCTCTCTTTGCAAAACCTATAGACATACCCTGCTACAATATTGAGATTTTTTCCACTGGCATTACAAAACCTGATCTTACAGTTGAGATACAAATTACGTTTGAACAAACTGCTCATTTAAGCCTTGCTTTCTTCCTGATGCAGTGTTATTGCTGCTGCATTGAGATTGAGTTTTGGAAAGATTTTCATACTGGATTATGGAAAAAGGGGATGGTTTCTAGTAGTTTCATGTCAGTTTAGTTTTGTCTTATTTTTAGTTGAGAAATTTAACTAATTTGTCTAAGGTTATTCTGCAGCTGTCCTGACAGTAGAGTGACATAACCTAGCTTTTGAACATTGTACTCTTATTCTTCAAAAGACTGCCTGAAAAAGACCCACTCATCAGATGAAAGAAAATACCCCAAGAATATTTAACTAATCATATACTGTGCAACCTACAGAAAAAACTAGTACTGTAGATCACTTAAGTGTATTTTAATGTATTCTGTTTATGTCTCTTATAATTTTGCTGCCACCATAAATGTGGCTACAAATAATACCACTTAATAATAATCTGTCTTGAATTACATCCATTAAGATTCCTATACCCTTTAATTTTATTTTTCCGATGTACAACACATCCCTTTGATATGGATGTTTCTGTATTTAATCTAACAATTGGAAATAAGGCTTACACTGTATAATAGCTTAAATATTTGAGGCTTCTCCTTGGAGAGTTTTTTTGTGGGGGGGGGGTTGACAAAACTCATGACTGGAGGTAAGTTTAGGTGAATTGAGGCTTTTTTTACTTTTATTTCACCAAACTAAGGTTTTCCTTTAGGCAATTATGTTCTGCTTCCCTGCAGTCCTCTGTGGATTTCTCTTCTTTAGTTTTCAAGCTGTTCCTCAATCAGATATGAGCAAATCGCTTTGCTGGTACAACAGGCAATAACTCGACCTTTTTACTTCCATTCCCCATTGAAAATAAAATGCACTCCTTCCTGATGAAGTTGCCAGAAAAGCATTCCTGTGTTTACATGCAAGCCTGAGGCATCATGTTTTTAAGGTTCATTGGTCCAAATCACCACTTAATCTTGCATCACTGAATTGTCTCTGGAAAAGCTCTTGCAACTTGAAAACTGCTTCTTCAGTTCTGGAAAAAAACATCATATGGATTCCTTGCAAATATGCAGGAGCAAGAGACCCTCAGCCAAGTGCTTTTCAGGTCCTCAGGAAAACTTTTATGCTATGAGTAATTTACAAGAGCATTTGAGGTCAGTTCTTTAAGACTAACAGTCTGCTGGAGGAAAAGATGTTTGATTTGTTTACTTGAGCTACAATGCAATGACAGGCAACCTTCACACATTTAGGATATGTGATGGTTCAGATTCAGAAAAGAACAACCTGTCCACAAATTGCCACATCCAAGCATGTCTCTTTTGGCAGTTTCTGTCAGCCAAAAGGCTTTTTTTGCACCTACCTGCTGCAAAGCACAGTTACTTGGCTTTGGGATTTAGAATTGGGAATGGATTGAATTTTGGAATCTTTGCTTCTTTGCTACTCATCATTGAATGACTGAAATGATCTTGAACAACATAGTCAACTGTGTAATTAAAGATAAAATAAGCAGTTAAAGAACAGCAGAAAATTCTGTTATGGGAATTTCATCCAATCTGTACTAACTTCTTATCTATATCCTGTAAAGGTATACAGGTAGACACTTAACACGATAATACTAAATACACAAAAGTTACCTGATATACATGTAGTGTAGTAGTGTTATGTTGACCAGCAACAAAATATGAATCCTACAGGATGTGTACAAGTATTTTCCAATCTTTAGCAGTGCTAGTGGCTGATATTAAGTATGAATTTATTTCTGAATAGATGTGTTTTTAGATTGTTATGCCAATTTAGGATTAAGTAATGTAAGAGCAAAAATCTTTGATAGAAAATGTTTCAGATAAAATTCAGTTTTAATTGCCTTAAATCTGTGATGTCACCCTGATTCTTATATGATAACACAATGTCTGCAGATATTGGGGTATTAGCAATGTAACAGTGTTTCTATAATGTTGTTATAGTGCATCTCTTTATTACAGACATTCTTTGTTTAGCGTGACTGGTGTGAAGTTGAAACCTGCAAATGAATAGAGAGGATTAGAAGTATATGAGTCTGTCATTGTGAGAAAGGGGAAGGTGTGAACCTAGTTTCAGGATAGTTTTGGTTTTAGATGTACTTCTGCAATAGAAGTTAAGAAACCCTTCTTTGAGAATGCAGACGGAGAGATCAGTGTGATCATGACCATTAGAGATTAAATGAGAAACTATAGGCTTGGAGAAATCTTTGATCCTCACAGCCCTAACATGTTCTCTGAAGTGGTCTCTGAGTCTCCTTCCAGTTTCCCCGTTGTAGAAAGCTGGGCATTTTGCAGGTGATATGTATTCATATGATATGAATGCTTCATATGATATGTGATATGTACCTGCAAATACATATCTAACACCACACTCATTCAAGGCCTCTCAGGACAATTCCAGATCACTCAGATGACATCTTGTACCTCCGGCAACCTTATTTACTGCATCTCTTGCAGAAATGACCATTTTTTGTGTTTCCTTTCTTCTCTTTTCAGCATGGATTAAACCTTTACCTGTTCCTTTGCAGCCTATGCATGCTGAGGTGGCTACCTACTTGAACTAGGTTTAAAATGTACATTTAATAACGGATATAATACTGTATCTGTTCTTTCTACAGGGCTAGGAACCATGGGGAAGGGGATTGCTGTTTCCCTGATTAGAGCAGGTATCTCGGTCATTGCTGTGGAAATGGGGGAGAAACAGCTTGAGGTGGGGAGGAAGGCTGTCAATGCCATGGTGGAACGAAACGCAAGGAAACTAGGAAAGGCACCAGCATTGGCGCTCATCGACTTTACCCTCAACCTCCAGGACCTGTGTGACGCTGACCTGGTGATTGAAGCCGTCTTTGAGGACATGAATCTGAAGAAACAGATCTTCAGGGAGCTGTCTTCAGTCTGCAGGCCCAGTGCCTTGCTATGCAGCAACACCTCTGGGCTGGATATTGATGAGATTGCCTCTGTGACTTGCAGGCCTGAACTGGTGGTTGGAACACATTTCTTTGCTCCAGCTCATGTGATGAAATTGCTGGAGGTTGTCCGTGGATCTCGCACCTCCCCTGTGACGGTGGCAACAGCAATGCAGCTGGGAAAGCAGCTTGACAAGATTGGAGTCTTGGTGGGCAATTGCTCAGGTTTTGTAGGAAACCGCATGTTGAGGCCTTACACAGAGCAAGCATACTTCCTCCTGGAAGAAGGAGCCAGGCCAGAGCAAGTTGATCAGGTACTGGAAGAGTTTGGCTTTGCCATGGGCATTTTCAAGATGAGTGACCTTTCAGGACTGGATGTGGGATGGAGGGTGCGGAAGGAACTTGGGCTGACAGGTCTCATACTACCCTCTGGAGCAGCACCACGCATCCGATCAGGACACAGGTATAGCCCTCTCCCAGATATCCTGTGTGAGAAAGGGCGGTTTGGCCAGAAGTCAGGTTGGGGCTGGTACTTGTATGACAAGCCAGGAGGCAGAGTTGCCACACCTGATCCATGGCTTGAGACCTTCTTGGAAGAGTACAGAAATATACATGGCATCCGTGCACGCCGCATTGACCCCCAGGAGATCCTGGAGCGTTGTCTCTACTCTCTCATCAATGAGGGCTTTTGCATCTTGGAAGAAGGGATTGCAGCAATGCCAGAGGACATTGATGCCATCTATGTGTTTGGTTACAGTTGGCCAAGACATAGGGGGGGGCCCATGTTCTATGCAAGTATGGTGGGGCTGCCCAGAGTGCTAGAGAAGCTGGAGCATTACCATCAGGCTCACCCTGACGTTCCCCAGCTAGAACCCAGTGGCCTGCTGAGGAAGCTGGTTGCCAGTGGGAGCCCTCCGATCCAGCAGTGGGGACAGGTGATCAAGAAACATAGAAGTCACCTTTAAAAGACGCACCTGTGGAAAAGGTCTCAGCTATTTGGTTCATTATGGGATAATGCGGGCACAATTGAACTACATTTAGAGATTCATAAGAAGCTTATCTTCTGGGAAAGCCTTCATGTTCGCTTTAGCCTTTCCTTAATGACTACAGTATACTTTACTTTTGTATTCAGCTACATTAAACAATTGCTTGATTTATGCTTTGTGGTAATTGGGGAATTTACATTAACCAGTGCACACCGCACCATTAGCACAGATTTAAACTCTGTGGTTGTTTTTTTTCATTTTTATTGCGTTTCAAAATAATTTGACCATGAGTAGTCTGACCTGTGATACTTAATATCTGAGGTGTTTGAAGCCAACAAATGCCCCCTCCACAACAAAGAACAAGATATTGTTTCTGAAACAGAGGACATATTGAGTTGGAAGCAAAGAATTAACAGAGCGGGCATCATTTTTAAATCACATGTTTAATCACAGAACAAAATTATTTCAACGATGTTTTTCAAAGTTAAATGTATTATAAACACAATTAAAGCTTGCTATAAAATTCTTTTAAATGTATTAAATGCTATTAAAGCTTGATTTATATTTGATGAAAAATACTAAGTTACTTAGTTAACTGAAACTCATAATAATTCTGTGCCATAGTATATTTTGGGCACTTTCATTTACCTGAAATGTGATTACCTGTACTTTTTTCCTAATATGATATATATTTAACAATGCACTTTATAGCGTGAATCTGAAATACATGTGAGATTGTGAAATCATGTGAAAGAGCAGTGTATAAAAGAAAAATAAATCAATTGTTTTGTTTAGCTTTGATTTTCCTTTAACTGCTAAATGATTGAAATTGAGTGGCATACGGGGAAGCTGTAGATGCCTTTGGATAAGCATTTTAAGTACACAAATCTAAATTCAGGTCGCCTTTACTTGTGAACAAGACCCAGTGTTTAACAATGTGGTTGAGTTTAAGTACCTTGGAGTCTTCTTGTTCATGAGTGAGGGTAGCAGGGATCGTGAGAAAGACCAGCGGATTGGTACAGCACCTGCAATAGTGCAGTAATGTACAGTACCTAACCATAGCAGTGAAGCAGGAGTTGAGTTTTCAAGGTGAAGCTCTTGGTTGTCCAGTAGATCTGCACTCCCATCCTCGCCTATAGTCACAAGCTTTGGGTAGTGACCGAAAGAATGAGAATGGGTACAAGTGGCAGAGATGAAGTTTCTCCATATGGCTGCTGGGGTCGGCACTCTGAGAGGACCCTGGAGTAGTGGTTGCTCCTCTGGATTAAGAGCCAGTTGAGGTGGTTTGGGAATCTGGTGAGGATGCCTCCCAGGCGCCGCCTTCTGGAAACAGCCCACTGCAAAGAGACCCTATGAGACCCTATTTCCCTGTCATCTTTAGTTTTGCTATTATTGCCTTAATAAGTTTATTAGTAGATGGTGGAGGAAGATGAAGGCTGAACTGTGATCTGTCTCTTGGACCACCATTTCGGAATTATCAGAAGGATGTCTTCCACTGGTCAAATGTAACAACTACAAGAGATCCTTGGGAAGAATTACATTGGCTACATTGGTAAGTAGAAGAGGAAACAATAAGGATAAGTGAACAACAGGAATTCCTCTATAGTAAGCAAATGCATGCAACTGAGTTTGATTTAATCTAAATAGAAAAGTATTTGAAAATGTATATCTTTATTCATGTAATTCAGGACTTCATTAGGACTGACTACTTTAGACAATTGTTATTTTTTTTAGTGTTTAATATAATATTCTATGTTTCACAAATGATGTACAATGAGCAGGAAAATGGGAACAACAAAGCCACTTAGTTGGGGGCGGGGCCACCACAAGTAAGGCATGCTAGCATCTGGAATTCACTAGAAGGGATGTGACACCATTCTTCAATTAACTAAACTCAATCAACTCAATCAATCGAGATTAGATCAATTCAAGTCAATCAGCTCATCACCTGGTTAATGGATGTGGAACACGCTGTCTCAGGTCATTCACTGTCATTCTAGAATATCCCATAAATGCCATCTGCTAGGTGTTTGCCCAGTGTTGAACTTTATCTGAATCATTTGTAAATTAATTTGGTGTGTCTACAATGTTTCTAATCAGTCTGTTATAATTTGCAAACTTGGCTAGTTTACTATTTCAGAATGTAATAATTAATATCAATTAGGAAGATCACTGGTCCCTTGGGTACTCCACTAATCACAGTACATTACCTCTTAAGAAAGTCATTATGTGGTTCTGTAATGTTGTGGAGCACATTTTCCTGGCATGATTTGGGTGCACTTATTAACTTAGAAGACAAGGTCAGTGCTAATCACTATTTAAAGGTACTGGGTGATCATCTTCATCGAATGTTTCTTTCCAGCAGGGAGGGGTGTCTTCCAATATTACAGACCCATCCACAGAGCATGTGTGGTCACCCAATGTTTTGATGAGCATGGCACTGATCTTATCCATATGTCATGGTCTTAGTCACCAGACCAATTGAATATGTATGGGATTTTCTTGAATTACACCTGAGACAGCATTTTCCACCTCCATCAACCAGGCATGAGTTGGAAAAGATAGTCCCCCATTCCTCCTGCTGGTAAACTCTTTGTCATTGAAAATGAGTGGGGTTTCCCAACACCCTATTAAGGAACAACACACCCAGTTTCCATTATTCTGTCCACTAGCTGTAAATTGTTTTGTTAATACCCTTTTTTTCTAGGGGGTAATTTGGCATTTATGGATTTACGTATAATTAGGTTACAGTACTTTTTTCATAAAATTATTTGAAATGCTCTCTGTAGTCACCCAGTTTGACCTTTAGCCAGATTGGTGAGTTAAATTTACATTTTCAAATCAAAGAAAAATCATTTAGATGGCTTCTCTTTTCTCTTCCTCCAGGGCATCTGTTCATCTGTCTCCAGCCATTTACACTATAAACCTTTCATTTATTGACTTTATTGACAAATATTTAAAATTAATAATCATCTTTCCAATTATGGATAGGGGCATAAAAAGTGGTTTACAAAATGAAATTAAATTGTGGTTTGCTTTATGTTGCCTTTAGTACCCATTTCTAAAACCCAAAGAGTTTTCTAAGCATGATGATATACAGTATTGCATTTAGTTATTTTTTCCAAAGGAATGTTTCTGTTAAGAGTTTTTAGTGTATTGATTTTTTATCCCCATGGAATTCTGTATTTCCTCTCTATTTATTTGAAGTTTCCTGAAATGTGTATAATTCATTCTGGGAATCGCTGCCTTAAATTAGTTACCAATGGAGAAGTCACAGATAAATGGTAACAAAAACTGAAATACACTGAAACATAAAAAATGTTAGAGGAATGGAAAGAATTCTTCTGCATCTTTAAGGATCAAACTTAAAACTAAAATGTCACCTAACTCAATCAAGATGATTTTTTAGGAACTGAACAATCAGATCTGCATGTAGCTAGGACAAAATTATATTATGGGGGGGGGGGGGATTTTAGTTTTCCTCGCTATACTGGGATAGGAAACTGTGACTACAAATGTTAAGGCTCAAATGTTTGAAAGCCCTTGTTTTTATCTGCTTTTTTCAAGTTACAAAGACAAGCTATTGTAGAAGAGAGATACATTGTTGTCAGGTGTATTCCTAAGAGAAATAGACTAGTGTGAATTAGTTTCAAATTAATTTGAGAAATTAAGAAATCTAATAATGAAAAATAAATTAATTTTGAAAAAGTTTAGAAGGGTATATTGTGTATAAATTACTCAAGTTCGTAGGGCAAGTATGTATATACAGTTGCTTCAGGGCAAATGACATGATAAAGTTCGACTTAAAGAAAGCTTTTGATGAACTACATGAAAGGCTAATCCTCAAATGTAATAGCTTCAGAAGTCCATCCAAAATAATGTGTGCAGATGGATAGGAATGATTAAAAAGCATACAGTAAAGGCAACTAATAAGGAGAATTAGCTCACACTAGAGTTACTGTAAGTTATTTGTGGCAAACCACAAGGATCGATTCTAGTTTTTTCTGATGTATGTCAGAGATCTAGACTATGGTACAGTGAGTAAACCTGTTAGTTTACTGATACAACAAGACTGTAAAAAGGCTTAGACCATTATCCAGGACAGGGCAGACACCTTGCAAATTAAATTGAACTTTATAAGTGCAAGTTAAAACACACAGGGAAGCAAAAATTGAAATTCAAATTCATATTTAGACACATGACTTTATTTAGTCAGTGTAGGGAAACAATAAAGAAGCCCAACAAAGTGTATGAATATATTGTAGGATATAATTCACATTAAGGGAGATCATTTTAAAAGTTCTCTCATTCTTGACATATACTGTAAATTATCTTTATTTTATACAGATCATTTTAGACACATCATCTCAAGGGTCTTTACAATAAAACAACTAAAACAAAAACACTAAAGACAAATATTATTGAGTGTATTAAACAAAAATCAGAAATCAGGAGGAGTGCAGGACCTTGCAACACAAATTAAACAAATTAAATTTAGAGCCATCTAAGACTTAAAAGAGGAGACACATCTTTTCACAGAAATGTGAAAAGTAGGAGTCTACAACTTATAGGATGTGAATGAAGCTGACTGGGTAATCCTTTAAGAAAAGGATAGATAGGATTGAAACATTAAGCAACTACTAATTATAACCAGATGAGATATGTCCTCCTTGTGTTTCTAATGTCCTAAATAGATTTCAGTTGGTACACTCGCCATTGTGCCGTACATGGGGCACAAACAATTTGTAGAGTACATATGTGCAGTATGGCTACTGAAAGCTGAATTACACCTGATGTTGAATAATTAATTACTTAAAAAATAATTCGCAATTATGGGATGTATTGAAGGTGGGCAGGAGGAAGAGTACAGAAGACTGATGAACAACTTTGTTGAGTGGTGTGGGGAGAACCACCTGCAAATTAACGTGGTAAAGACGAAGGAGTTGATGATAGACTTCAGGAAGAAGAGGGTCCAACCTACTCCTGTCTGCATCCATCGGAGTGACGTGGAGATAGTGGACTCATACAAGTATTGATGATAGACTGGAATGGACTAAGAACACAGAAGCCATCTACATGAAGGGCCAGAGCTGACTTTACTTCTTGAGGAGGCTCAAGTCCTTCAATGTGTGTAGTAAGATGCGTCATATGTTCTATCAGTCTGTTATAGCGAGTGCCATTTTCTACGCGGTGGTGTGCTGGGGCTCTGGGATTAGAGCAGGGGATGCCAACAAGTTGAACAAGTTAATCAAAAGAGCAAGTACTGTCATTGGGTCT